TGGGCGAGTCACCTAAGACTAGAAATTGAAACATTTTCGAAACGATTAATTGTATCAAAAAATGTTTTAAACAAAAATAAACAATTTCAAAATTGATTCATGTAACTGATATATTTTTAATGTTGATGCATAGAAAGTATTTGAAAGTCAAATTTGTTCTTTTTTTTTTAAGTGAAATTATGTATTTTTTAATACGTTATTCGATTCAGCTTCGTCATTCTTTAGAAAAGAAAATATTAAACTATTTGATATATCGAAGAATCATTCGGGTCAGGAGATATTTCAAAATAATGTAGACGATAATTGTTCAAAGTCGAAGTTCGGCGAATCGAGTCGAATAATGTTAAAAGTTTCAATCGATAGAGCCTTTACGCACCAACATTAAAAAACACCAATTATATCGATTAACGATCTGGAAACTATTTAATTTTTATTTAATCTTTGTCCAAAACATATTTTAGATATAACTAATCGTTTCAAAGATAATTTCAGCCTCTGGTTTTAGGTGGCTCGCCCTGCATATTTATTAAATGGTTTTTATCTAGCACTGTACATTTACTTTATCCAGCATTGTACACGCGAACCACTCGTTGGCTTTATTCGAGTCGTGAATACGAGCCACCATGCATGTACACGCGTTCCAGCCCAGAGATTCCTGATTACGCAGTTCCTCCTCCTAAAGATGGGAGAGGGAACGTAGTCGTTGTCCCGGATCTAGCTGCGAAGCTGCTTTTGTTTCAACGATGACATCCGCGCCGCGTATACGCAAGTAGCGGCTGTACGCACGTAATAATGGCGACTTCACGTATAGTGCGTCCTCGGACGTGACAATTACAGATATCCCGATTAATTGGTGACGACACTCGGATCAGATCGGCTATAATGGAGCCGAATCGAGGAGTAATAGCCGCGTGATTTCTGAACTACGTGTGTGCGAAATTTGTTTGTTAACACGCGGCTGTCCGGAAATTTCTCGGCCTCGTCGTTATCCGGGGCCGAGCTTTTTTCCCCCTCGATCAATCGTTGAGCAACACAGTATCGCAGTAAATTGTTTACTTGACTGTTTGTCGTCGGCGTTGGGTTTAACAGTCGATCGAAAGCTAGCGACGAATACCAAGCAGTTGTGTAACGGCTTCGATACTTACCAACTACAAATTCACCTCTCGCTGCAGGGTGAGATTGGAAGTTACATCTCTGCTTGAAAATATCGTTTCGAGTGAATATTTTCCAAGGCCTTTCTTTCCAATCTATTTTGTTGGGGATTTCACCTAGACCGCCGCAGTATTTACGAATTTTGTAATTTCGATTTACCACTAAGTATTGGATTTATATATAATATCTTTTTTTTTCAAATTCTTTTTAGAAAAGAGATAGAGATTTTCGTCATTAGAAAAATCTTCATTGCACGACAGATCATCTGCACTATATTTCTTCGTCACTTTCCACACTCATTTTACCAAATTGCAACAAACTATATAATGAAGTACTACATAATTAAGTGAAAAATAAATTTCATAAAAACTCATAAGAGTTAATAACAGTCACAAGAAATAAACACATGAAGAAGACAGAAACTATGATCATATGGGCCGTTTATTTTGAAAATGGCCCAAGTCCATTTATTTTTAAATCAAGATATTTAACGGTTTGAGTTTTGATAAATTTTAAAAATATTAGTAACTAGTAACATAGTAGTATAATGTTTTTGTGTTTCTAAGGGTGTATAATTTACCAACCCAATTAGTGTGATAAATATTGTTTAGAATATAATATAACACATTTTCGATAACTATAAATGGACTCAAGCTACTTTCAAAATTAACGAAATAACTTTTTTAATTTTTAAAAAGGCATAAATCCTTTAAAAAAGATAAAATTACCTTAAAATAAAAAAAATATTACAATTTTGTGTTTTAAAGTTAAAAAATATCCAATTTTTATTCACTATTAAAGAAATGTTACATTCAAATAATATTTCATAATTTATAATCCATTCTTCCCCAATTTGCGTATGCAGGAAATAATTATAGCGTAGTAAGTGGTATATAGTGTAATAAGTCCATTATATCGTTGTATTTTAGTGTTGCGATTAGTGTTGGTTTTTATTTTAGTGTTGGTCTTACATTTTTGTACAGTAGTGTCAATTCAATATTATTAAAGTTTCTTGGCCTCCCTCGACGCGATAGTAAATTCAGACTTTTGAATAGTGCATCCTCATTCATTGATGTTTTATAGAACATTTTATATGGTTCAATCCTCAAAAATCGCATCCGACATATTTTTAACAAATTTATCTTTCCTCCATTAGTATTTTTTAACTTTCTACAAACTGCGTCCTCTAGAAGTTTAGTTGAAATGAAATCCTCTATATTTATTGGAATTATTATTATTTAAAAAATCTGAGCTACTATCCTCTATATTTATTGGAATTATTATTATTTAAGAAATCATTATCTGAGCACTATCGAATATTACTATTTCAATAATAAAAGATATAGCTCTTATCTCACGAAATTTTATTACATAATACACTTCATATCAGTTTGAAACTCTGAAAATGGCACTTTCAAAATAAAAATCTTTACCATTCTATTAACCAGCTAATTTTCTGTGTAGGAAATCTTAGTGATTTCAAATATATTAGTTACAATTTGTTTAAAATTGAGAAGATAAATATTAAAACGATTAAAGAAATGTAAATATTAAAACAGCTTGACTTTTTTGGAAAATGGAAACGAGAAAATGGAAAACGCGCGGTTCCTGAGAATTTTTTTCTGCAGAAATGTATATGTATATGAAAACGCATTTGGGCTTTAGTGTCAGTCCACATATTACGCCTTTTAAAACAGATCTGGCGCTACAAGTGTTAATTTAATTAGCTTTTTCTTAATTTTATCTTCACGCTTAGATAAATATTAACAGAAGCAGTTTTTTAATATGTTTAATATTCACTTATGTTTCGTTTCCCTTAATGAATTTACTCATACTCAGTTGATACTGAAACCAAAATCAAACGAAGAGATTTTCGAATTCCGTTTTCTCGAAAAGCAAGCTTCGAACGAAGAAATTTCTTTGACCAAAATTTCTAAAATTTCAAATTAATTTTGTATACATTTTCTGTTTTTAATTTAATTTCTTCATACATCTGAATGAAAGAACTAAGTAAAATACTATTTAAATAGTAAATAATTCTATTTATTTTGAGGTATATTATCTACTTCACTGCATATACTTAAATATGCAGAGCTGGGCAAAATACAATGTAAATAGTAAATAGTAAATAATCCTATTTATTTAAAGGTATGCGTATAAAGTTTGAAAATGAAATATTTTATTTAACACAATAAGTCTTTAAAATAGCATTTTATTAAAAATATTTTAATATTTCTTTTCTTTGTTTTAAATATTATTGCTAAAAATAATGATTCAATATATTTATGACTATAAATTATTGCTAACATTTGCTAATCTCTTTTTATATACTGCGTACTGAAAATTGTAGTAATTTTTCTATGTGTCATATTAATTGAATGCAAGAACTTTTTATTTGGATCATTACTAAGACAAGAAATATTAGATCATTCCATAAATACTACCGTTTCCAAGAGTTTTAAAACAACGCAAGAAAAGGAAACATTTAACGAAAACATTATTCGAAATACTTTTTACCACCAGTATATTTAAAACTTATTCTTATCTAAATTCCTCTTAATACCGCAACGATAGAAATTCGATTTACGTCAAAGAATGAAAAAAAAGCGCATTATTTATGGGATGATGCTAAATGCTTCAAGCGAGATTTATTTCATTTTATCCTATTCTTTTATTTTATTTATGTTATATATATTTCTTATTTTATTCTTATAGATTATTAAAATAAAATACTTCATCTTATATATTTAATCTTTCAGATAATCAAAATGAAAGTATTTTATTTAAATCGTCAAAATGAAAATATTCTCCGCTCGTCGAAATGTTATTGTTATCATTATTATATTTGAAATGTTGTTCCATCTAAGCTGAACAGAATCCACAACATTAAATAATATTTTGAATACTTGAAATTTAAAGTATTTAAAAATCGCCCGAAAATATTACCGAACTCTGTGTCTGCCGAGAAGCACAACTCGGCCGGAGAGAATCCGTGCCGACGAATTTTTCCTAGTTTAGCGATATTTCCTCGAGCTGACACTCCCAATATTCATGTTCGTTTCTCCGCCTTCGGCGCAACTCTTTTCAAAAGTCCGCGTGTATCTTCAATGTTTGCCGTGCAAAGTGAGTACACCTTGTATCATTTCGCGACGCCGAGCCAATAAGCATTCGCCAGCGATAAATCTTTCGGTTTCCCCGACTTCGTTCCAACCGTCTCCTCGTAGCAGCGAACTTTGCCCCGTGGCGGGACGCAGCGAGAGGCTTTCCAAAACTTTTATATACGTTCCGCGCGCGACGCTCTCTCTCTCTCTCTCTCTCTCTCTCTCTCTCTCGTGCATATCGATGTGATCCTTATCGAACGTCTTTGATCTCTTCTCCCCTCTTTGAAATTCCCGTACAAACGATTACGGATTCTTCGCGTGGCGTTTTCTCCCGCGGAAACCGCGTTTGTCGTCCGTTGATACGTCTTATTGACATGTTGATTTCATTCTCGCGAATTGTACTTATATTTCGATCTTCATGTTTAGAGCAAGTATTTCGAAACTTTTACCGGCTGAATCTGCAGAGTGACTCGCTTGAATCAGTTTTAACGCGATCGAAGATAAGAAAAGTATCTCGACTTTTCACGAGGAATCGCTCCATACATGTACACGACGCACAGTAATATACACCGTGTATAATATACACCGATGCGTCGGAATAGCACGTACAAAAAGATGAAAAGGAAAAAAATTTGTTGGTTTGAGGAAACTGAATTTGAAGATCTATCAAGTATACTTGAATTTTTATTAATTTAATTAATTCTAGACGCGATAGGAAAGAACGATTAACAAGTGTGAAAGAAACCTATCTAACTTTCACACTTATTACATGATGTAAAATCGTTTTTAAAAAAAAGACGAATTCTGTCAAAGTAAAGATTCCATGCTTTAAAATAAGATCGTGTGAATTGTGGAATAATTTCTTTTTTATAAAGTTGTAACAATTTCAATTATTAATAATTTTTCATTGTTTTTGGTTTAATTATGTTCTTCACTGTATGTATGACATCTCGATCAAATTTAATATTAAAAGTTTTTTTAGAAGTTCCTTTTTGTTTACTAAATTAGGAATAATAACTATAAAAACTCAAGGATCTTAGCTACGCACTAAATTATCTGTCAAATAGTATCATAGGAATTACAGACAATAATATCAGAACAATTACAGGATATGTTAAATTAGTAAAATTCAGAATATTCTTCTGCGATATGAATTAATTACAAAATTAAAAATTTCAAAATTAAGTAATTTAATTCCAAATTGTTATAGTCCCTTACGATATAATGATCAATAATCTCTATATCTAATCTAATCGATATAACTTTTATATCCGTAAAAAAATATTCTTAAAATAAATATTGTCTGTCACGCGACAGAAAAATCGTTACGTCAGTCTTTATCGTCAATGAATAAAATTCCAAATTTAATTATCTGGTTGGTATAATTAAAAAAAAGATTAAAATTGGAAAATTTTATCCACTGTCGCATCTACTTAAATAGATTGATTCCAAGCAGAGATGAGTAAATTATTAGACTGCAAATTTTTTATGCAAATTCATAAAATGCTTTTGAGAACAAAGAGAAAATCTCGGTAAACAATTTCTTTACGTATCACATGTTCCAGAAAGTATATTATATTTTCGATGCTTTACATATTTTATCACATTACGTGCACTCCGTACGATTTTGCGCATTCGAAATAATTACGTATAAATATTCACGTGTATTTTATATGTACAATTCTATGGAAGATTCACACATGTGCAAAGCAATGTACATTTGGTAAAAGTTTGAATATGCATCTTGTATGTGAAATACAAAAACAACTCAGCTTCAGAAATTAAAAGAATCTAACGTCGATAATGATTTCTCTGTAAATATTTTAATATATGTTACATGTGAAATGAACATATTTGTCGTTGTATAATATTGTCGAAAAAATGTGTATACATATAACTAAATATTAATACTAATATAATTAACTAAATATTAATTACAGATGGCGAAATATTAAATTCTAATAAATGTACTCGAATTTTAACATACATATATGTATGTATGTATGTATGTGTGTGTGTAACATTATATATAATATGTATATGTTACATATATATGTAATGTAACATGTCATAATATTCTGCGAGTACAAGATGTAACAGTGTGAATTAATTCTAAGGAGTGCAAAAAGATAATTTTTTTTAAAGATGAAATTAATAATTCACAATCACAAGAATGAAATTTCAGCGATTGAATTTAAAGATTGCAAATTTTCTTCAAAAGACATAAAAGTCTTGCTCATGTGCAAGTAGCAAAGAAATGTAGAATATTTGTAAGATACATTTTATCGACAAATGGAAATATGAATTTCTAATTAATTAATAAATATCAACAATACTGTTTCCTGAATGTCTCCTCTCTCACTTAATTCATGTAACGTAAAACTTTCAGTGTTATTTTAAACACACTTTTTAAATATTGAACGAAATACGAATAAAATATTATAGTATTTGAAAAATATTATCTTAAAATTGAACAAACAAATGACTTTTCATTAAATTGTTTCATTATGTGGCCATCAACTCGAATTATCCTTTATTTCACTTTGCGCTCTATATTTATTTCTACAAATAATCTCTGATTCTACCGCAAAAATGTTCTCGCAATAAACCATGGTGTGCTCGGATTATCAGTTATTTTTATTTCAATGAATTAATCCAAACGAAAGATTAATTTGCAAATTTATTTAACTTGAACAAGAGTAGAATAAAGTCATTTTTCCTGAGTAATTTTTAAAATAAAGGCAATAAATAATCACTTTTTTAGCCTCGTTTCAAATAAAATTCCTCCAACTGTTTTCAAACGAGAATTTCTATGAAGATGAAGCTGTTCCAAAATGTATACATAAAATACTTGCACACGTAAAATATAGTCGTTCATCTATTGTTAGTAACGTAATATTCAATTTGAACATTTGGTTCGTGCCTTCACGGTGTATATTATTTATACAAAAGAGATTGGGCGGAATATTATCAAAAGCTTGTTAGATATCGGTTATTATAATTAGTTCCTCTACTTGGCAAAAGCTATTTCGCGCTTGGAACTATCATTCTTGGTATTTTATGACGCTCTGCATATTATTGTCGATTTTAAATTTACGTTACATAACCAGAAGTATTAGAGTTTCTTGCTGGTTGTCTAGAACTTTATACGCCAATAATTTCAGATTTATGAGAAAAATAGTTTAGAGAATGATGTCACATTCTTTCTGTGAAAGTTCAACTTCAGAGAGATATTTCTATTAAATGTCGAATAGTTTTAGTAAATGTCAGAAAATTAAGTAAATTTAGAAAATTAAATAAATTGAAATTAAGCAAAATAAAATTAAGTTTCGCGGCTTTTCCCTATTTCGCTAGTTTCTTTAATTAAAGGTTCGTTTTATCACTGTTCGGAGAAATAAAGAAATTAGAATTTCTGTTATTTAAAAAAAAAAAAGTTGTATTTAAAATATGGCAAGCCAGCGAAATTTACTTAAAACTATTGTTAGTAATAAGCATAAATGATCCAACGTGCAAAACGAAAGTTTTTCGTCTTATTTAAAAAGAAATATTCCTTGTATAATAAGCTAAATTGAAAATTGTGTGTTGCGATATATTTGATAACAGGCTTATAGAATAGAATATTTATAATCAAGATCTATATTTCAAGAAAATATAGATATATTATTGAAATTACCTTGGTAAATTTTCAAACTCGATCCTCTCGAAAATGAAGCATCTTGTACAAAAATTTTATTCTACATTTTTTAGTTATTTCCGCACGTAAAATAACCTCTATTCTGTCATGTCTAGAATTAATTAACTTCAAGCCTTGAAATTAT